TGGTTAAGCATTGGGCTGCGATCTGCATGGTTGGTTGTTCAAAACCACCAGCAGCTCCAAGAGAGACAGACTGGGCTTTCTACTCCAGGAATCAGTTACAGACTCAGGAACCCACGGGGACGCTATACGTCAGCACTGGCTCGATGCAGCCAGTTTGGTTTGGTTGGTTTGGGTTTTTCTTAGAGGATTCGAGCTGTCACCCAGCCCACCGCTATTGGGTCCATTCCAGTCATAGGGACCCCATGTCACGTGTCCAAGACCGTTTCCAATCTCTAGGGGAATAGACAGCCTCATCTTTCTCCCTCAACATGGCTGGTGGGTTTGAACTGCCAGCCTCTCAATTAGCAGCCCAACGTCAGCCCAGGGCTCCTTGCATTTCCCCGCGGACACTGGAAGCCCCCTTTAGAAGGGCTGAGGTGCTTCCTCACTTTGCTTTACTGGCACTCCCCTCCCCCTGAGTGCTCCCCACTCCCCTCCCCTGAGTGCTCCCCACTCCCCTCCCCTCAGTGCTCCCCACTCCCCTCCCCTCAGTGCTCCCCACTCCCCTCCCCCTTAGTGCTCCCCACTCCCTTCCCCTCAGTGCTCCCCACTCCCTCCCCCTCAGTGCTCCCCACTCCCCTCCCCCTCAGTGCTCCCCCTACCTACCTTTCATTCACAAAACCTGCCCACAACTATTCACACTTGCAGCCTCTGGCCTCCAGGACCTCAATGCTGGGCCTGTGGAACCCTGCGGGATGGCACCCCCAGGACCATGGATGCACTTCCAGAACTGGGGGACGGTTCCCATGATCCACATTCACACTATGGAGAGGCAGAGACTCACGTCTATTGGTGTCATTCAGGAGGGACCTGGGAGGTGGACTGACCCCTCCCTCACAAGGTGGACTGACCCCTCCCTCACAAGTTGTTGGCACCAAAGGGGTCCTGATAAGGAGCCCACCGTGGGAAGCAGATGGCGGGCCTGCAGGTCTTTGAACCGCTGAGAACCGTGGCGTGCACTCATCTTACTGAGCTCCCCTGTTGTTGAGATGGGGAAACTGAGGCTCACAACAGGGAACTGGCTGGCCAGAGGTCCAGCAAACTGCTCTACTGGGCCGAGACTGGCCAGTGATAGAGGACCAGCGCCCTGCCCTCGGGGATCCGCACCTTCGTGAGCTTCCCTCCTCCCCTGACCCGAGTCCAGTGCAGGGAAAAGCGTGACGCTTGCTCAGCCTGTGGTGTCTACACTGCTGTGTGCCCCTCACGGGGCGGAAAGGAGCAGGAGCTGTCCATTAAAGGAGCACAGCCCAAGGAGATCAGGCGTTGGCTCACAGTACAACTGGACAGAGCGTGGACACCCAGCCCCACCCGTAGTTCCTGGAGTGCTCTGTGCCATATGGATGTCCCCATGACCATTCCAGCATGGCTGTGGCCAGGGTGCAGGGCCAGGTTCACAGGACAGTTATGGAAGAACAGGAGACCAGCCAGAAGGGGAGGGGGCGTGGGGAGGTATGCAGCCTGGCCGGCACAGGGTGGACCTGGTGTGGCCGCTGCCGAGTCTCCTAGTTGCTTCCATCACAGAAATACCACAAGCAGCTAACTTAAAAAACCAGAAGCTTATTCTCTCGAAGTTCAGGAGACTAGACGCTGGAGCTCAGGGTGTGGCTTTAGGGAGAGGGCCTGCTTTGTCCAGTAGCTGCCAGCGTCTCTCAGGACTCCTGGTCTCCTGTTGCGTCTGCGCCATTGTTGCCCCTTCTCTCTGCCCCCCTCTGTGTCTGTGTGGCTCTGTATATTCAGCAGTGAATCTCAGCCTGGCTGGGCCCCAGCCGTGGGAGCCTCTGTGCCCTCCTCTGTACTTGGGGCCGGTGGTCATAACTCACCCACTGGCTGGTTGTGAGCATCACCAGAGACGGTTAAGATCCACCCTACACTGGGCTGACCTCAACTGATGACTGCCTTCTGTTACGTTCAATCGCACTGTGGGGAGTGATTACATCCTCTTAGATTACATCCACAGGTGCAGGGGCTGGCATTCTGACACACATATTGGAGGGCTGCCATTCAATCTTACAACTCAATGTCCAGAAGACCAAAATCCCCACAACTGCACCAACGGGTAACAACCTGATCAGAGACAAGGGAACCACAAGCGATCCAAATTGGTGGGAGGCGGGTGTGGGAGACCTGGCAGGGCAGGATCAAGGGGGATGTAACAAACAGGAAGTGCTGAAACCCTGGTGGGGACTGAGCATGATAGTGGGACAGGAGGAGAATCAAGGGAAATAGAGGAAAGAGCTGGGAGGCAAAGGG